ATGCCGGGCTAGAGTAAAGGGAAGACAGCCAGTCAACACCACCTACCACTAACTCATGGGCTACTTGTTTACAAACGAATAGTGGGATTGACCGTCACATTATAACCCCCACGGCTGAAAGGGCGAGGATGTTTGGTGTGATGGGGGATTCGAACCCACGACCCACAGATTGCGAGTCGAGCGCCCTAACCACCTAGTCATGCCGGGCTAGAGTAAAGGGAAGACAGCCAGTCAACACCATCTACCACTAACTCATGGGCTACTTGTTTACAAACGAATAGGGGGGATTGACTGTCGCATTAAAACGCCCCCACAGCTGAAAGGGTGAGCATGTTCGATGAAGGGGATTCGAACCTACAGATTACGAGTCAAGCGCCCTAACCACTAAATCAATATAAGGGATCTAGAACGATTTTAGATATTATCAAAAGCTACATTCTTCTGTATTTTTTTTTTTACTTTATTTATTTTTAATCTTCTCCTTATACGTTTTCCTACAAATTTAAAGATGTAAAAGAAAATTAAAACATTTTAACACAAGCTACTATCTTCTGAAAATTTTACAAGTTTCCTATCGTTTTTTGTTCTTATTTGGATAAATTTTCTACTAAACTTGTTTGTGATTTTTTTTATCGTATTTAATATCTTCAAATAAAATTTATCCATTATTTATGAATTATAAATATAAATTATTTATTATTATTTATAAATATTATTATTTATTATTTATTATATTATAAATATAAATTATTTATAATTTATTATTTATTATAATAAATTATTTATTATTTATTAATTATTCATTAAAACATAAATTCAGGATGTTATTTTAGGTCCGTTTTAAAACTGAAGTTAGGACTTTAAAAAAAACTTTCTTATACACATTACTCTAAGAAACGCCCCCTAGTGGCTCAGTGGTAAATCTAAAGCCTAATAACGCTAAAAAGCTAGATTTCGATATCTGTGGTGGGCACAGCGTAGATAGCCCGTTGTGTATCTTTGTGTTTAATAACAAACAAGCTTAAAAAACGCGCCAAACTACGCCATTTTTATCTTTATTCGAATTCAAAACACTTGCAGAAAATGTGAAACATCTCCATGCACAAATGGTTAAGATACGAGTGAGATATTTCAGATCAACGCCCCCTATTTCGCAATTTAATCTGAGTAACATGATATATGTAACAACAATAAATTAACAATCACATACGTATTTTAGTTTATTGGGATTTTTTTCTAAGAACACTCCCAAAATGTTTATGGGAACAGATATATAGTATTCTTAGCGACTCCTCTAAAAAAAAGCAACAAGTTAATTGATAAAATACAATTTATTCTCGCCACAATTAGTGTAATCCGGGGTTCGAATCTCCGCGGTGGACACAGAAGATAGCCCAATGTGGCTTTGCCCTAAAACAAACAAACAATTACCAATAAATAAAGTTACATTTTAATTCTTCCAGGAAATTTGGAACGAAATGTGCGAGCTGTGAACAGGGCATTCCTCCGACCCAAGTTGTGAGAAGAGCTCAGGACAACGTGTACCACCTGCACTGTTTCTCTTGTATCCTCTGCAAACGCCAGTTAAACACTGGAGACCAGTTCTATTTGATGGAAGACAACAAGCTCGTGTGTAAAGTAGACTACGAAGCTGCCAAATGTCGCGGTAATATAACTTACTCCATCGTATTGTAAAGTAACCTTTGTCATCAAGATCCATAATGGCGTGTAGTCTCAGTTGACTTGAAATTCAAGATTTGTTTGTTTTTAATTAAAAGGATATAACAAAAATTATGTAGTTACTGGGATGATACACTAATACACGACACTGGTGAATATAAAATACATTAAACTGCTATTATTTACACTTCGATAAATGGTTTCGGAAACACGTGATAAGCTTACATCACATCTGAGACTTTGAATGACAGTTAACATGAAGTATTAGTCAATAAGTTTCCAAAATGCTCAGTAATTAACTTAAACGAATCTAAACAGGTTTATCAGTGTAACTTGCAACTTATGATTTAAGGTTATTTCCGATGAAAGGAATATTGATTACAATATGGTTATTATTGACATATACATACATATATATATACATACATATTGCATCACGAATTGAATAAAAAAAACAGGCCCCCTGAGACTGTGATCTCACTACTTTATTAAGACGGTAGGATTTACCACAACATTTTATGGAAATACAACAGTCTGTTTTACCCAACTAATTAAAATAATTTAATTAAAACAAGATGATAGACAAATGATAGAAATGCTCCATATTGCACCATGTTGTATGGAAGATCCAAGATGTTCGCGGGGAATATTACCAATTATATTAGGTCGTCAAGAAATTAATGTCACTTTTTTTTAGATGAAAAAACCCGAACAACTAAAATATCAAAACAATTTATTTACCAAATGAAATAGTCTCCATTCTTATCGATGATGCTTT